TCCCGTCCAGTGGGAGAGAAAAGCAAACCACATTTTGTAAACTCGGTGTTAAAGACGCCGAAGATCCGATTGAGCACCTCGAAGCAGTCGCCGATGAGTGGTGCTCATGGGAGAGAGAGCACGTGGCCTTCCGATGGGACACTGGGACTTCCAGCAAGTCTCTTGATTGGGGGGTACTTGGGTTGCCTCTTTGGATTTTGTAGTACAACATAGATCAGAGATAAAAGTCTGCGTTGCGGTCAGTTTTGTAACACTTAGGCTCTTAAGATTTCTGTATAAATCTTGTTAATCTAAATTGTGTGCTTTGAATTTGTGAGCCTGTTGCAAAGGGCTGGAGCATGGGCTTGCATTCGGGTTTTGTTTCTAAGCTATTTTCTGCGTTTATCAGAACTGATTAGCTCTAGATTTGGAAGTTGCCAGGGTTCTGGCAGCTGCTACGTTTGTACACGGCTTTAAGGAATTTTTGCCTTTTTGAAGAAGTAGCTATTTGGAACAAACCTGGCCGTGAAGTGATTAATAGTCTGTAGCTTGAATAAAAGCACCCTCGTGTGTTAGGACTAAGCATGACCAGAAGAATAAAATAAAGCACACAACCTGCGGGGCAGAATTAGGGAGAGACTTGGTTTTGGAGGTTCAGTGTGGAGAATGAGTTTCACGTTCCCATCGGAAAGAGTTTTGTCTCGTAGGCTGTAGGACCGGGGCTCCGCTCCTCACTCCCAGGGAATTCATGGCCCTCGCAAGAGCCAGCCTGACTGTATCCTTAGTAGAAGTTCTCACAAAGCAAGCCTATTGCACACAAAGGAAGATAAAATAAACTTTAAATAGCAACAGATATTGGGCAGCATACAAGAGGAGGTGTTCTGCAGAACAATAGCTACAAATAGCAGCCTGGAATGACCTGAGCTTGGCTGTGTGTTGTCGGGGGGGTTCCCCCTTCCCTTTCTTGTTCCTGTGCGTTGGCTTACAGGAACGAGTGTGTATTAAACAAAGGATAAACTTGCATAAGGGTATTTATCTCTCTCTGGGTAAAACCCATACTAAGACATGAAAGGTAAAAGCTGCATTAATTACTCAAGAGGGATTCAAAGCTCAGCAGTTTACTGGGATTGAAGGATTTATTGAAAAACAGTGGTTCTCATGTGTAACTCCAGGCAATAAACCTATTTAATTAAAGGCTTAATCTTCTAGTTGACATGTTTGCTACTGTTCCAATAAAAAGCTTCATCTGTAGCCAATTTTTGTAACTATACAAATAACAGTTGAATCCCTCATCTTTGTTCAGTTTTCTAACTCTTTAATTGTAGTTATAATGTAAATATTTAAAGGACTTTTATGTCTTTAGGAATCAGAAGCATTAAATGGTCTGCGTTCCAAATTCTTTAAATACAGGCAGCGTGTCTCTACCTCTTCCTTTTCCAAACAAAAGAATATTCTTTCTTTATAACGGTTTGCACCGATAACACTAATCTGTATTGAGCAGCAGTTTTTTAACAAATTTGCCTCTTCAGGCTAGGTGTGTGCACTCATCGCTATCTTACATAAGTATCATTAATTCGAGTTTCTGCAAAATTAGAATTTTTTCAAGACTCTTCATGTCAGTGCTTGCTGCTTAGAAATTTAATCGTGATGTATTACGAAGGAGCAGATTAGAACATATTGGAAGAGGTGGTAAGAATAGTTAAGTGCCTGGATTATTTTCGTATGGTAAGATTCTGTAATGGGACTAAACTAAGTGTATTTAGCTGAGAAAGGAAGAAAATGAGAGAGAATTATTAAAGTGAACAAAATATTTTTATATGAGATCCAGTTCTTTCTTAATCCTGTTTCAGCAAACAAGAAGTGAGGAGATGTTATTTATATGTGTTATAAATATATATGTGTGTATCTACACGTGAGCATAGGGCGGCATACACACCTTTTGTGTGTGGTGAAGACCATTATTCCACATGGTTTTCTTTTAAGGATCAAACTGTTACAAGTACTAGAGTTGATAGTTGTAGTAGTTTAAAGCAATCGAAGGTTAATCAAATCTTACACTCTTCAGGTATTAATCAAGGAGAAAATTCTGTACTATTCTGTGGGAAAATACTGAGGAGGAATGTTGCTACGTTGCTGTGTTATTCCAAACAGGTGTTGGTCACTGCTGGAAATACAGCTTAATCCAGTACGGTGTAATCAAGTGGTTTAGTGTAACAGCATCTTTCAACTAAATCTTTCCTTTACTGAGCTAGAACTTTAACTCGGGTCTCTAATCCAGCAAATACTTTAAGTCTTTTAAACTTCTATTTTTGGACTATTTCTCTGAATCACATCTTTAATAGAGATGTTTGCTTTGCTTTGCTTTAGGTTGGGACTCATCGGGAAGAAAGTGTCAGCCTCAACAGCAACCATTCGGTTCTTCCCAGTACAGTTTCTGCTCAGAGCACAGAACTAAATCATAAAACACAAGAAAGCTACAGAGGTAACTTCCCAGTAATATTAAATGCTGAACAGGGTCTGCAATAATCCAGAGCCAATGAGGCCGTAGAGCTTGGTAAACTTGCTTCAACACAGGGGACAGGGACATAGATAATGTTGAGAAATAAAAATAAATTATAAATCCAGTAAACCACCACTGTTAGGGCTTCCTGCAACAATTTTGAGGGCGTCCCTGTGTCGGACTTGTCCCAGTGTAGTTTCAGCAGAAGACTCTGCGTTGAGCCATGTTCTTCGGCTTTGGCAGCCATACCGCCATCTGCAGTGCTGCAGCCGTTTGCGAATGGGCTGGGGGTCGCGGAGCGAGCTCAGGGTGGGCTTCAGCCTGGCCAATAAAAGGAAGTGCTTCCACACAACTGTTTACAGTTCCCTCAATTCTTAGCCTGAAGAAGCGAGCTATAGAAAACAGAAGTCAACTTATTCGTTGGCATGCTTGCACCGTGTAGGGCCCTGTGTGTTGCACATTTGACCTAAGCCCAAGCCTCCGTGCCCGTGCAGCCCAGCCCTTAGATTTGCAGCCCAGACGTGAGGCGCAAATTTCCTTACTGTGCTAAATGTCCTCTTGTCTTTAACAGCGTCTTTCTTAGATTAAGCTGTTACTGGTCAAGCTGCTCTATGAACAATGATCTCTTTACAGCCCGTGACACGCGTCCAAGTACAGCAGCGTTACCAGGATTTCTCTTGTTTCTGCTGCCAGAGCATAGTTCCTCCTGTTGTCTCCTCAGACTTCTGCTCAGCTCTGGCCTCCCATCGACAATGTCTGCTCAAGATTCCCTTAAATCTTTCACTCCTGTGATACTCACACTGATCTCTGGTTGCTTGCAGCATTGTCAGGTGGCTTACAGGGCCAGTCTGTGGCTATAGGTCCAACAGAAATCAAGTCTGAACATAAGGAGAAGGATGAAAATATCCATGAACCCCCCTCATCGGATGACATGAAATCAGATGATGAGTCCTCCCAAAAGGATATCAAGGTCTCATCTAGAGGCAGAACAAGGTGAGTTATTATCATGACATAGAAAATTAATTTGTGCTTCCTTAATGCTCTGTAGTGTGTTGTCCTTCAGTTTGATAAATTTATTTCAAGGCTTTTGCGTTACCTCAGTGCATATATTACTAGACGGCTGAAATAGAGAAATAGTTCACTATTTAAGTATCTATCTAAGTTTACTATTTAAGTGTATCTATTTAAATGCAAGATAGAGGATCTGGGAAAACCACCCGAAAAGTGTGTGTTCCCTTACGTTAGTGACTTGCCTAGTGTCTGCCTGTAGATATAAGTAGTAAAAGACTCAGAGGGCCGTGCCCAGCACAGAGGATGGGAGAATGGTAGAAATTTGCGATACTTTGTTCCTGGGCCAGGGCTGCGCTTCTAAATGTGAGCCAGAAGCGATGGGGAGTGGCAGCTTGATAACCCGGAGGCTGGGTCAAATATGATAGGTAAATATCCGTTTTAACCACTTTTTCGCCTCCTAAGCCATGGACAAAAACCATGGAGTTGACACTGGGTAAAATGCTTCTGGATCTGCCCGATAGGCCTGACACAGGCGTTGACATTTGAGATAACAGTAAACAATCAGCATTTTGCAACTACAGGCAGTGGAGTCTATGCCATCACATGTGTCTAACGGCATTTTAGTAGGGCAGATGTTTTGCACAGTCTTAGGCTTAGTTGGATAGTCCTATATTAAAAAAAAAAAAAAGGGCTGTGGAACTTAATATAATCTTTTGAAGTGATAGAAGAATTCTAAATATAATGGTTTAGCATTATACTGGCTATTAAAACAAAAAATAATTCTAAAATTGGCCAGGAAGGTCTTTAACAAAGCTAAAACTTTTTATTATTAAAAATAAATTGAAAATTACACATTAAATTGAAAATTACTAGAATGCCTTTGTATATAAGCTGATATATTGGAAACTAGCAAAAACTACTTGTTGAAAATTATTTATTCTTCACCTAAGATGGCTGAGTTTTCTCTTAACTATTTGGACGTTGGTGAGTAGTTGAGTAAAGTGGTAATTTGGGTACATCTTTTGTTTCAAGGGGCAGCGCATTGTCACTGCTCTTCCCCAGCGGTATTTACCATCTGTAGGCAGTATTCTGTGGATATTCTTTAGGCAGAGACCATTTAACATTTATTTCCTGGAGAAGGCAGGAACAGCAAGAATTACTTTGAATACTTAGCACATTGATATCTAACGCTTTCTTAGCTATCTAAATATACTTCAATATGAAATAGATTAAGTGGGGAGAATTTTAATTTCATCAACTGAAAATTTTGAACCAGCAGCAGCAGGATCACTTGTTTGAAATACCAGTGATACTTCAATATGCTTTTATTTGTACTTTCTTGCAGCAGTACTAATGAAGATGAAGATTTAAACCCAGAGCAGAAAATAGAAAGAGAAAAGGAGAGGAGAATGGCAAATAACGCTAGAGAACGTTTGCGTGTCCGAGATATTAATGAGGCATTTAAAGAACTCGGCCGTATGTGTCAGCTTCATCTGAAGAGTGAAAAACCCCAGACGAAACTGCTTATTCTTCACCAGGCTGTGGCAGTCATCCTCAGTCTAGAGCAGCAAGTGAGAGGTCAGTCCCCGTCATTGTGCCCTGGCAGTTTGCAGCGTAGCTTTGTTCATGGAACAGTGTCCGTCTCTTGAAATTAGTATAAACCTAATACCCGTTACTAAAAGTTTGTTTGCTGTTTTGTAACAATGTTCAAGTTTTTTAGGAAGAGCAAAGAATTACCTGTTTTTTAAAAAAGAAAAAGAGGTGGGGAGGAGAAGCAGGAGGATTAGGTTTATACTTTTGATCTTTCTTTTTTTTCCTGTGCAATTAGCCATCTCTTCCCCTGTGTTTTCAAGATAAATTAAAATATTGACACATCTTGCCTTAAATTGTAACAAGCGCTGATTTAGTAGTACAGAAGTTTTGGCAAAAGTAAGACATCTATTTTAAGATGAACTCCACATAACTGAAGTAGTATAATGCAGTGAATTCAACTGCAGTTACTTAGGTTTTTGCATTAAACATATACTGGGGAAGAGGGAATAAACCTACTGCTACTTTATTGAAGTAGGGCTGCTTTTTCTTTCCCCGATTCCTTTAAATTTTTCCAGGAAAGATACAGTAGGCCTATTGGTAGGTACAGAAGGAAGGATTCTTTGCGCAGTTCACTCTTTTAAGGAAAGAGAGTTCTAGGAATCATGTTTAGTTCTTCCCCTGTTTTGTTCCTGCGTGTTGGTGAAGCTAGAGTTGACTTTTAGTCTCCCTTTAAACTCATGTTGAAGCCATGTGAAAGTTCTGAGGCACCTCCCCGAGCTGGTCAGGCAGTTGGACTACATGATCACTGGGGGTCCCTTCGAATGGAAATTATCCTAGTGTGTTCTGTGTCGCTGGCACTTAAACGGGTGAGCATCCTCAAGTTTTGCTGTTCTGGTCTAGGGAATAACCATCCTCCTTGGTGTCTCACTGATGGAGATGCATCAAGTGACTGGAAAAGTCTTTCAGATGGGGATGATGTCAGTGGTCATATTTGCTTAATGTGCTACACCTTTGAATCACTGATCAGTCACTGAATGGTGTCAATGTTTTATTTTTGTGTACCTTGTTTTTACTTCCATTTCCTAATTCGTTGCTTGCATTTTGCACGGGAGATCAAAGCAATTGTTAGAAGTTTATTGAAAGTGACAAAGTGACTAACGTAAGGCAAACCTTATGTACTTTGGCATAAGGATGAGATGCTGTGTTTTCAGGCAGAGTTTTATTGACCCAGTTTTCAATAAAGAAGCGCACTGGCTCCAGCCCGAGTTCTTCCAAGGCACATAGAGCGACCAGTTACTGTGCAGACAAGACACCAATAGTGCCAGGGAAAAGCCCATCTCTGCGACTTGGATCTTGGGAATTGTTTTGGTCTGAAAATGTTTGCCTTAGGCTGGAAGCTCAGGTTCAATATGATGAAGTCAGAATAACTTCAATCAAGCATGTTTTTTCATGTTTAAAGCCCATCGAGTCCATCTCCCTGCTCTCACAGATTCCGTAATCTGCAGAAATCCCTGTGGGAAAGTTAATAAAATCACTTTTGCCTCAGTCAGCGGTTGCTTCCGAACCTCATGTCGCTGGTAGAAATGTTTTTGTAAATGTACTTGCATTTAAATTGGACCTATTCTGTGGGCAGTGTAAACTGAGAGCTTTTCCTTCCTCACGTTTACATCTCGCCTGCTACTCCCTGTGTGCTGGAGGAAGCCTGTCACGAGCACACTGTGCCTCTTGTGAGAGAGGCTGTTTCCCGGTTTATCTCCCCCGTCTTTCTTTGCACCTGCTCCTGGAAGTGAGTGACCGGAGCTGTGTGTGGCGCCCAGAGGAGCTGTCACCAGTGCATTGTATAATTGTGTAGACAATTTCCTCTCTCTGCTGGTAATGAAGCTTCTCATTTTGTGATTGGTGCTATTCAAAATGAAACATTTCAGATTTTAAGCTCTAACTCTAGGCTAGCATTTTTATCTCCGTTTCCTACATCACTGTGAATTAACTTCCTTTCAAAGTTTCCACATAATTAAATCTTCTTTAAAACTTCAAGGCAAGCCACATTGAAACAAAGAAAACCGTGAGGAAGAAAAGTTAGTGTGGTGGTGGTTTTTCCCAGTAGCCTCTTTGGGAGCGCTCATCCTTAGGAAATGCAGTGGGAGGCTGTTGATAATGACTTGGGTGAAAGCAGAATTAGCAAGTCTGTCCAAAATTGCCTCTGTCAGATTAGCTAGATTCTACCCTGTGAAATGCACAGGGCTCAGCAGACTCCAAGCACCAAGCACTCCAAGCGCCTGCACAGTGCAGGGGCAGGGCTTGTGCTTTCTGTTCAGTTCTGGCAGTCTCCTTGCAGTTACAGTTGTATCTGCAATCTTAAACAGCAAAACAGAACTCACTGACAGCTAGAAAAATACCTCAAAATGGTGATTAAATTCACTGTGTGCTGGTAGACCATATTACGTAACTTTTGTGTCTTTCTGGCCATTGCAATTTACATCTTTTGTATTTTGATTCGTGAAAAGCCATTTTGAAGAACAGAACTTTTAGAAACTGGTATTATTTGAAAACTAGATCCAAACCTTCATCTATTGAAACTAATTGGGGAAGTGGAAATGTACTGTTGGAAATACCTTGATAGCTAGCCCACAGCTGGCTGTTACAAAGTACTGACTTCAGTGTGAGAGGAAATATGTTTTAAAAAAAACAATAATAATCCTTTGGCTCCATGTGACTGTCATCATTTTTGTTCAATTTAAGCGAGACAGGCACAAGGTGATTTCAGAGACTTGAGGGTATGAAGAGAACTATCGTCTTGGGACGTTCTACCTGCCCTGTTCTCACAGCAGGCTTACGCTTAACATGAAGAAAGAAGCAGTAACATTACTAAAACTAGTGTGATGTCGGTAAGGTTGATATGACTTCAGCATACCAACAAAACACAGAAATCTCTGTTCTATTACATTGCAAATTACAGACAGTTCTCATTTTGCACTTTAGCAACTTCTGGTGACAAGGGAGGCACTTTTGAAGGTGTACATAGGCAGCTAGTAAAGTTTGGGGGTTTCAAAAAAACAGCACTTTAGGAGATGCCTGGTAGGAGTTTCGATAGTGCTTTAGACACCTGCATTTTAACCCAGGGACATCAGTGGTGAAAAGAGGGGAAGCTGTGTAGCTATTTGTACTGCACTGGTTATCATGTCGATGTTCCCCTTCCTATTTGGGATGTCAAGAATCGTTTCTCTGTTGCAGAACGAAACCTAAACCCTAAAGCAGCCTGCCTTAAGAGAAGGGAAGAAGAAAAAGTTTCTGCCGTATCGGCAGAGCCGCCAACACCACACCCAGGAAGCCACCCTGGCCTGAGTGAAACTACCAACCCTATGGGTCATATGTGAACACCAGCCAGGTACGTCTCTGGGCTAGAGGGGGGTGGCTCTCGGGGCTTTTGATGGGCAGAAATTTGGGACATGTAGGGATGTTTGTTCTTAGTTACTGAGCTGTCGCTGGCACCTAACTTCTTTATGCTGCTAAAGTACTTTTGTATCTCTGAGCATAAGCAAAAGCATGCAGATTTGCTTAGTTTTATAATAAAACAAAACCCCAAGAAATCATCGTTAAAGTCTCTTAATTTCCATGCGTTGTTGCCAATGGCTACATCTCTTGGCTCAGGTGGCCTTCTTGGCATGACATCAGAGGAACAGTTAGCAGCTTGCTTAGATAAGCCAAACATAATAGAGATGAATTATCCATCTTTAAATGGTCTAAAGATTGCATTAGTTCATTTAAAAATCCATGTATTGTTTCCTAGTGCCGATACACACGGTTGGAGAGACTCCTCATCTCAAAGAGATTTGCTGTCTGGCTAACGCCTGTCATTGGCCTACCAGAGATCGCTAACTATCTTAAGTCACAATCTGTATTAGTGAAGAGAGTTAAGATTTAAAAAGTAATGTTCAGCTTTGCAAGATAAATCAGTGTTTCCAAAAACCCGTGTAGTCCAAGACATGATAGTTCATTTAAAACATGCTGATAGGAAGGCCTTACAGGGACATCAGTCTTTTGGGTTTATTATGTGCTGTTCATTGGTTGGGTTTTTTAAATAACTGGGAAAAACTTGATTTTGAGAAGGAAACATTCTGGCTATCCTATGTCTCTTAAAACAGCAAAATGTTGCCACTTTCAAAAAGAGATCAGTGAGTTCAATGAGAGCTCAACGCCCTTACTTTAATCTGTAACTTGACTAAATTTCATGTTTTGGGAAGTTTGTTGTTGTGTATATAGACTGGTTTGCTTCTATTTTAGCTTAAGGAAAAGGTGTGCATCTTGCCAGAATGTATCCCATAAAAGTTTGTTATTCCCTGGTGTTCCTTAGAAAGCAACAAATTGGCATTTAAACCAAGTCTTATTCCAGTCGGTACTTCTTCCCCATCCCTTATAGGCAGCTTCTTTCTCATAAACGAAATGGGGTTTCTTTTTAGCAAAACCAGGTGCTTTGAATTTCTTCAATGTGTTTTATTTCATAGCAGAGCAATAGGCTACTTCTAAACCATCAGATAATGCTTGATTTACAGCAGACTTACAGTCTGTTCTGACCGTTATTAATTCAATGGGCCACTTTCAAAAGTTTACTATATCGTTGCTTTTTTAATAGTAGTAACTTTGTAAGAAGACTCAAGTGTGACATTGACGTGAAAAGGCCGTACAGGCTCATTGAGTATATGGCATTGCGTACCTTCAGCGGTAGCGATGAAATTAGGTGCTGTCTCCTGCTGATGTTAGAGAGCAAAGGCAAACACAAATCAAAGGTCTAAGATTGCAGATTATTCTTTCTCCCATATGCAGAGTGCGCCGGTAGAATGTTCCTGCGAGTAAACTGTTCAATACGGATACCTCTGGGAAGAAGGATTTCAAGGCCTCTCAGTGCGATTTTCTTTTGCACTTAACTGACTGAAGATGCCCTAAGAGACCGTTTAAATTAGTTCTCTAGTGTTGATATTACGCTTTGTATTGATTCTTTCCCCAATACCCCTCTCTTGTCCCAAATTTCTTTCTAGAATTCCAGAATTATTGGTAGGATACACAGAAGGTGACCTTTCTTCACAAGGACACAGACAACTAACATTATATGAAGACACAAACCTGACAGGAGAAAACACTTGAAGCAAGAAACCCAAATGCAATCTTATGATCAAAGCTACTGGTCAACACCTGCATCAGGATTGAAGATACACAATCTTCAGACAGAATTTCAGCCCCTGAAATACTCTGAACATATCATTCTGTTGCAAGCAGTGTGTCGCTTCTGCACAATCAGAGACTGTTGTGATCTCTCCACTCATTGTGGAAGTTGCCTTGTGCCTAAACTGAATTGACAAATGCATTGTAACTACAAATTTTATTTATTGTTATGGAACTGTAAAGGTCTACATATAAAGGGAAAAGTTAACATGTTAAAAGCTGATAAAATTTCAGCTGGATGCCAGCATTTACTCAAGCTGTTCACATTCAGAGAACAAAGCAGTGACAACCGTCGACCCGTAGCATTCCCAGCGTACCTATTAGTGTCTTAAAAAAGGAAGGGAAAAGTCTTTTGTTGTCCTTTCCTCTCCTTTTGCCATATGACTAGTGTTTTCCATGCAATAGGAAACTATTCCTTGGTATAGCTTTTTTTTATGTTATTTTTGGTCTCTGGTAATCTGAACAGTTATGGTCATAGTTCCCCTTCCATACTGAGCTCCGTGCTTCAAGCCAGTAAGAGGCCTCCTGAAGGCTGCAGGCAGGAGCAATACTGTGACCATAACATTTCTTGGATTTAAAAAGTGATTTTTATTTTCCCTCAGACTTTCCTCAAACTTTTTTTTTTTTTCTAATTATAAACAAAACCTTTTTAGGCTTCTAGGCTTCATAGTAAAGCTTGTAACGTGAAGTGTAAATTGGGTGGGGAGAATCTACTTTGTTAGAGTTGCTTTGTTTTCCGAGCAGTAAGTACTACATATAGTACATGTAAAGTGTTAGCTGTACGTAAGCACAAAATGCATTAAAATACAAAGGAGATTTTTTTCAGGCTGTAATTTTGGTGAATAGTAAAATCCTAAATTCACCGTGGCAGGTAGTGTGATGATATAACCACCAGTAAGGTGGGCTTACTTATGTAATGGAATATAAGAGCAATGGTCACCAATTTTTCCTTACTGTATACATTAATTATCTTGTCATTTTTGTATGGCTTGTCAGCGGAGAGAAGAAAATAGTGTGAATCAAATGCAAACAAACGACCCCCTCCCAAGCCATATTAGCATTAAACCTTTAAATGTTTCTCCACCGGAAGGGTGTCCGTAAGTATTCCTTTGTCACGGATGTGTTGAAATGGTTAAAATCCCTTGGAACTTCCATGGAAACTGTCTTCCACTGCAAGACCATGGGAGGAAATTTCCCAAGCCAAGGTTGTCGGAGCTATTGTTTATGCAGCATCGCTCATCACTGGCAATTGGTTCACACGCAAAACAGGAACAAAAGAATAATTTTTATGAAGTCATTTAATTTGAAAGAACAAAGGATAGATTGTTAAAATAAACTAATGAATTTAAGCTCATATTTTGGATGGCTCCTCACAAAACAGTTTGTGGAATTAGTGGACTCATTTCTATTACTTTAATTTGCATACATCATCAAATACCACCTGATTATATCTGTGGCCTTGTTCTTCATTTCAGTGTTTATCAGCTAAACAAATTTGTTGCTTATGACGTGTGAAAGTGATCACGTGCCACTGCCTGGCCTTTTTCCTTCTAAGCTTGTTGTCTTTTTGGCTATATTAGACTTTGCAGTATGCCCAGAAGCTTTCCTTCATAAAATAGAAAGAAAAAAACATTTGGCTTATTTTTCACTGTAGCTAGTCTTTTATACAATAATCTTGTAAGAAAATTTCTTGAATTCTAAATATTACTCTTTCTAGATTTTTGAAATCGAAAAAGTTTTCAGTAAAAAGTTTCTTACTTTATTTTACTATATTAGGTAGTAAAAATGTAGGGTTATTTACCATAACCTGTTCATTAATATCAGAAATTTACAATAGCATTGTAAGACCATAGTAGGGTTCTAGCATACCGTGTAGTACCTATGGAGTATTGTAAGAGCTAATTGTCCGAGATGAATTGCTTCTCATCTTGTTCTCCAGTTTCCATTGTTGGTTTATTGCAGATTTGTACCCTGTGTCAAATTTCAAGGTATTGCTGATAAACCTTTCCAACCAGCAGCAAGAAGTTCAAAAAAATTTCTGTCAATGTAACAGAAAACACTATGTATATAACATTTATGTAGCAATAAATGTGCCATCTTTTTTTAACATGGTAAATCAGTGAGTTCTTTAAATTTCTCTCTCCTCATAGGTAATGTGTTGCTCGAAAAACACCAGCAAAAACAGCTTCCGCCTTTGTCTGAATAAAACCTAACATACACTCTGGTGGCATGCAGCAGGCATCAGAGGCGCGAGAAGGGCTGCTGCTGCTCCCTGCGAAGCCAGTACAGCCATGCCCAGGGAGCGGAGGAGGAGCAGCGCTCGCCTGCCCTTGCTGCTGCGCACAAATGGGATTGCACAGGCAAGCGGCCAGGTGGGAGCAGACACCGGTCCTGTAGGCGCACGCCTCCTGCTACATCTTGTTCCTTGACTTTGCCTGGCCTTAAGATAGGTTTCTAAGATCTAAGCCTTTTTTGTGCATTGAAGTTCAGTGCTGAGTTGTTTCTGAATTGATTGATGCATCTACATAGGTTTTATGAAAAAAAGGGGGGGGGGGAAGTGTCACTTGAGCTTGAAATTAAAATTTTCGCATTTTCTACAATTTTTCTTTCTATGAGTGCAAACAAAAGAAAATGGAAGTGTGTGATGTCCAAGCCTTACACAGACAGTGGTGAAATCTTCATGCAATTCCTAGTCCGTTCAAGCCAAAAACCTTGAGTACTGAGCAGACCTTGTAGAAGCTTGAGTTTTTCAACTCTTCTCTAAATAAATATCTCTGGGAAAAGCACATCAAAGACGAGCAAATAGAGATACTGTATAAGTAAAGTTAGGAGGTTTACCTTAATGTGGTGTAATGTCAGTATGGCTGCTGCTTACCGCAGTTTCCAGCTCTTGATACTGTCCTTCGTAACCTTAGAAAGTATAACAATTATGGTGAGATGTAGTTTACATTGTAAAAGACTAGTCAGCACGCATATAGAGGCAACTTTTTCTAATGTGCCAGCACTCTTACCTGTACTGGCAGATCTCTAATGTGGTCTGGCCAAATACAGGAGGTGAGACTCAGCTCTGTAGGTACGTCAGGTAGTATGTCTTCAGTAGTAGCTGTGGGAGAGGTGCCCAGGTGCCTTCCCCAGTGCACGTTTTCAAACTCCAGTAATAATTCTAAATCCAGCCTTGGAGCATCCATTGTCACTCCTCTCCCCTTTTCTGAATGAGACCTACTACAGGTTTGTCATTTCTTTCAGAAAGAATAAAAATGGTGGTTTGCCCTTCATCTTTGCTTTACCACACTGCCACTGTGCTGTTTGCATATACTTTCTGATCCCAAGTCTTTCATCTTTTTTTTTTTTTTTCACATTTCCTTTTTTCCTCCACTTGTGCTTTTTTCTTTTTTCTTTTTGCACTTGGGAGAGATGCACATTGGGATACTTTTGTTAAATACAGTTCTGCTAGAATGAGCATTTGGAATATTGTAGGAAAGCTTTCCTGTAAATCTTTCCTGTAAATCTAAAGTATTCAGAAAGGCTTAAAATGGACTCCCATCTTTTTTCCTCCAGCACTGAGTAGATGCTGTTACAAAGAAGGTCCTGGATTCTTTTATATAAGCGTTAACATTTCCCCAAGAATTAATCAACATTAACATTTTCCCCGTTAACATCTGGAAATCACGGCAGAACAAAAATAAAATGCAACAGTCTGTAAAAGTCAACCTAGATACTGGATGGATGGTAAACTTTGCTTTTTGTTTGCACCACTAATGCAGTGCTTTCTAATATACTGAACCTGTGGACACTAAAATGTCCTGTAAAAGGAAGAAATAATTTGTCCCGACTGTAGAGCTTGGCAGCATTTCAAGAGTGAGGTTGAAGAAGGCCCAAGGGGAATGAAGAAGCATGCTGACACCTTCCTGCCTCCGTGCGGACAAGAGGTGGCCAGAGCTGAAAGCCACCAGGCAGCTGCCCTGGTCGCAGGGCACCGCTGACCCAGGGACGGAGGGCTGCGGCCCATTGCAGCCCTGGGGAGAGGCACGAACCTGGCTCCTGCCTTCCTGCACCTCACCTGCCCAGTGCAGTGAGGGAAAGTTTCCCAAAAGTGCAAAAATGGTGCTAATAGGAGACAGCTACAAGCTGCTTTCTCTTCCCTTCAGGTCTCTGCTGTCAAAGAGCACATAAGTCAGGTGCCATTTGCGGGGGCTCTTCGTACTGCTTAAACATCATTTGTGTTACTGAAGTTAATCCTGCTGCCACGCTGGATGCCATTGCAAAATCCTGTGAGTTTATTCCCTGGTTAAGACACGAATATACTGTTCAGCTGCTATCACAAGCAACTGCATGTGCACGTTCCGTATGACTTAGCTAGTTTAGCTGTTTGATTGCAGTCACCTGGGATTGCTTGGACTGGTCAGAAACTGCACACACCAGGCCTTAGGCTCTGAAACTGCAAAGTGTCTGGGTTGTAAACAGAATCCCTTTCAATTCTCTCCTAATTCTGACTTTTCAAATGTTTTGATGCAATTAACATCATCTGTTAAATCAAAGCTGATAAAAAAAAAAAAAAAAAAAAAAAGTCTTCAAAAAATTATACCAAATGCCAAGTGAGACAAAAATCTTTCTCAAAATGTTGACCATAAGTGATCCTGGAGGGCAGGATCCTGTTAGAAAGTGGCTGAGCTAAATATTTGCAATTCTGGTTATTTCAGGTCAACTAGAGAAACAAGAATACCAAGGTTATTTCATTTTCAGGAAAGATCCACCATATTTTTAACATTATCACCTAAATGTATAGAGACAAAAGGAATTAAATATAAACTGTATCAGTCAGAACAGTAACTGCTGCCAAATGTGATTGAACAGATGAGAAAATAATTTACAATATAAGTCAAAATTCAGTCAATGCTAGATGTCCTGCTAGTCCTGGACTTCAGAAAAGCATGAGAAACCTATGCAGATCCTATAGCTGGAACTATCTCTTTCCATCAAAGCTCTGAGTAACATAGTAAGTTACATTTGTTTTGGAAAACTCAACAATTCAGCTCTTCAAAAAAAATCCAGGAGGAAATTATTCAAAGTAAATGGACGTGACATTAAACTCTTGTACAAAATTAACACACCTGTGTCTTGCTGACTTGGTAACGTTGATTTTTGGCCCCACTTTCTTATTTTTGTGCTGAGGTTTTTTCTGTCCCCCCTTCACTGTATTTTAATGGCTAAGGAAGACTCTTGGAAATGCCAGAACAGATTGATTTACTAGTTTGCTGGATGACTTATTTATATACAAGTAAATTAAGTGGTTCCTTATGCTCATGGAAGTTCTGACACACCATGTTTCATTAAACGCACATCCTCTCTATCCAGGATACAAAAAGGAAAAAGAACTACTGGCAGTGGAATTGTAGAAGGTTAGTCTTCTATGTTCAAACACACCTACAGAAATGTGATGAACATGAATGAGTCTGTAGCAATCATTATAAAACTAAGGTCTCCAAACACGAGGTTATAAACTCATCTGTAGAATGATATGTCTGAGGAGTAGAGTATCACTCTGCATTTTACTTGGCAGCACCCATAAATGAGCAGAGATGCACAGTATCAGAAGCATTAGCTTACCACAGCAGCAGAATTAGTCACTAGCCCTAGTTTGTGTGCTGGTTGGAAAGACACCAAATAGCCAATTGTTTGCTCCACAACCAGACTAGGATCCAGGCTACTCCCAAATTATTTTCTCTGACCACTGAAATAACTGCTTTCAAAATGAATTCTTGGGGGCATTTGTGGGCTTGATATTTACTCTATCAGCCTCATTCATTCAGACTAGAACCTCGATGTGCTAGAATGAGAAGTCCCTATTGCAAAATACTGAAAACTCACTCTATAGGAGAGAAATCTCCTATATATGAATATTAAATGATGAGGCAGGGGTAATTTTTGGATCATGTTTTCAATTGTCATCAGAATGGTCGGTTCACACCCGCAAAAGCTGAAGAGCATATCACAATATTTTCTTTTAAAGGTGACAAAGAAAGGAAGTAAATCTTGCAGATATACTTCAAGTTCTGTTTGGACAGTACCTAGCAGAAGAGAGATCATGTCTTAACTGACCCTCTGTACAGTACAAAGACATAAATGCTAATGCATCTGATTATTAATTTAACAGCAAAAGTACATTAATCCCTAACGCTACCTGACTAATTAAGATAAATGCATGCAATATCAGTTTTAAGTCGATGGGCTCTGCTTCCAGTTTACCCTTTTAAAAGGGTAACTTTTAATTAAATGTCCATTTAATTTGTTTACATGACTAATTAATAGCTGCAAGTATAATCAAACATAAAGCTTCTTAAATGCTCATTCCTTTCCTAGCAAGCAAGAATAGTAAGTATGAGCACCATAAAATGCAAGTACAAGAGGGCAAGAGGCTAAAAATGAAGAAAAAAAAAAAAGGGACAGCCTACAGGATATGAAGGTAGTAACCCAATATAAATTAGCGCCTGTCATTATCTGTAGGCAGCCAGTCATCATTATCCTGTTATATAGAAGTATAACAAATATGTCAATAAAGCTCATTATAAAGTTTTTTGGATATAAATACAGATTCTGCGTTTACAGGGGTATCAGGGAAAAGAGTGGGAATGAAACCAAAACTGATACGTGTCTGTTAAACTTTGCTGTTTATTTTTTTCATGCGGCTGTTTTGCATATCCAGAATAACAGATGAAAAACAACCACAACCACACACTGGTTAATTCTACTGTTTCTGTAACTGGTGACTTTTCAACTGGACGGCTATATAAACCAAGCTGTCTGTACGTACTTCCACAGGTCTTCCTGGACCTCCTTTCTCCCTTGGCCCTGCCCTGCCCCACGCCCTCCCCCCCCCAAGTTTCCATTGCATGAGATACGGTCTCCAAATCGTATCAGTTATAAGCAAGCTTAAAACTTTTAATTTCCAGGTATATGCCTCTGCTAATTAACTAATGGAATGGTTGAGTGTGGTGCAGGTTACTGCTCCAGAGTGAGCAGCAATGGTGAGATTCAACAACACTAGGTTCCAGCATCCACAAGTAAGTGTCAGAGATGCTTCTGCCTTCCTTACCCGTGCCACTTCTTGCCTGGCCC